ATTCATTTATAACACAGTGAAATATTGGGGAGAGACCGTATGTAAATTCTGGGTAAGATTCTAGAACGATTTGGCTATGTTCGTCCATCTGTTAGTATGTATTTCTGTCTGTCCATCTGTCTTGTTGATGTAGAGGTTGGGCTTATATACAGCAAGGCTGTACGTTCTATTATGCGAAAAATAATCGTGGTAATGGCTACCACCATTAGGGAGATGCAAATATGTAATACGAATTATTTAAATATCTCGTACTGTTCCCCCCGGGGCATGTTACCTTGATGAAAGACCCTCATCTTGGTGTATTGCAATCCCGGGCTAAAGAGGTGTTACTATTACCCCTAGTCTAACGAGGCTATAAACTGGTGATATCAATTCACTCTTCGAACTTTCCTTGAAATGATTTGACATGAGGTCGAGCCAGAGAACAACATAATCCGGTACTACGGATGGCCAGTTGTCCGCAGGACTTGTCCTGACTGGTCAGTTGGTTGAGGTTCCTTCGGGATCCACGTTGTGGCTGTGGTTTGAGCCCAAATACGCGAAAAGGCAAAGTTGAGTTTAAAAGACTGATGCACGGTGAAATCTATAATCTGTTCATACCAAATCTGTTCATACCAAATCTGTTCATACCAAATCTGTTCATACCAAATCTCTTCATACCAGATTTACCACAGTGTGTGGTGAAGTCTGTGAGAAAGAACAAAGTCTTGGGCTTATATATTGCTGTTGCCGACTCAACAGAGGCCATTCAATCTGCGTGCTTGTTAAGCAACGGTCATTGATTAGATAGTTCATGCCACCTGCGTGTAAGATACATAATGGGAAGGTGCTGAGTGAACACAGAAGCTCACCCAGTGGTTGAAAAAGGCCACCGTGAATTAAGCCAACACGGCAGGCGTTCAATTAAATCACTCGAGATTCATCTCGTACTGTTTCAGGACTTAATATTTTTGTGGAAGTGAGAGACCAGCAATCGATTCAAAGTATCTTTCTTAGTAATATTTCCACATTAATGAGGTCTGTGCCTGGAAATAATGGGATCAGAGAAGATAGATATGTTTTTGTAATTCCATTTGGAAAGCATTAAAAAGATTGGGTGCAGATTGTATATTCTAGAACGATCTCCCTATGTCCGTCCGTCCATTTGTGTCATTGTTGTTGCGATAGGATTTACATAAAAATATCGAGCTCTGAAATTTTCTATTTGTCTACCTGTCTATCTTCTTAGTTTAAAGCACGATGGAACTAAAGTGTATAAATTCTCTGCCTTTAGGCCCGTTTGTTTGTATGAATGTCTGTCAGTCTGTAAATTTCCGTTTGTAATACTTCCAAATATTGGAGACTTTATAATGTGTGTCCTTATGAGACTATATTACGTGTTGAAGGCGTGGTAGGGATTAAAGGAAAGCATCTGGATGAATAAAACTATCTTGCCGTACGTCTGTTAAATTAAAAGCTTGATAATACTTGCACGAAAGGTATTGTCTGTTCGTTCGTCTCTTTGTTTATTTGTTTATCTGTCTATTTTCTTAAAGATGTGAAAGTATAAAATGATACAGTTAATGTATAAAATTTGCCTTCATTTCGTTTTAATGTGTGTCTGAACTTTTATCCATAGACAGCTACCATTACTTTAAGATATTTGAACTTTTTACTTTCAAAAGCTGAGCTATTTATAAAAAAATGAAGACCTTTTAAAATAAATCTCTTACTACGTTTTTAGTTAATAGGTTCTATAAAAATTTCAAAAATATTATATTGCAAACTTACAAACAACAGTAATATACTGTAATTAGTGATACTAGGTAGACACTTCGTAAACCAGAAAGGTATATCAGGCTCAAAGAAATGATTCATTTTTGATGCCAACTTTTTATTCTTTTTCAATTTAGCCAAAAACTGAGGACGAGCATGCTCTAGTTCTTGAGTATAACCGGTAAGGCCCCATTTATGAACTAATTTAGCAACATAACGTTTCCATAACTCTAAAAATAAAACAGCTAGCAAAATTTTTTATCTTCGATTAAAAATATTTAAAAATATATATTTTAATTTAACATACCCCATATAGATGTTATAAAAGCATAACCCACTGTGCCATAATTATCAATTAAATAGTTAACTTTAGCTGCTATGCAAATTTCCTTAAGTTCCCAATAATCACACAGGCGATCACAGGAAGGACACATAATTATTGTTCTCGTCTGATCACAAATCTCTGTACTAAAGTTATCATTAAATAATTATCGACTATATCACTATTTGTAAAATATTCACCTCACGATATCCCAAGATCTAGTTAGGTAACCAAAAAATAAATATAATAAACCTATAAGGCTTAGAGGTATTAACATATTAGTATAGAAACCCAACCAGGCAAAATATATGGCTATTTTAGCACCAAAATACTCTTTAATTTGATCCAAAGGTTGGTTGCTTTAATGGGAAATATTACTTAGTGCAACTATTTTGAAATTTACTTTAGAAACTTACTGTAACAAACGATTCACAGTAGCCCATTCATTTAATAATAAATAACGATCTGTTTCCTTTATTAAATAAGAATAACTTTTTTAAAGTTTCATTACCATCAATATGAAATTTTGTGGTTAATTATATATTCCACAAGAAATGAAATTGTATTAAGTTTAAAACTTAACTTAAGTTACATTGCATTCCTTTGGGTGAATGGACAAACTAACCACTATTAGTACTTACATCGTGTAGTGTATAGGCACAGATATAGGCTCCTTCTGCTAGCAACTTTTCAATGCCCACATTATCCTGTGTATTCTCGTCATCGCTAAAATGTAAACGTTCTAATATAAAATAAACAATACTATTTCTGGTTCCAGCATCAAAAAAACTCGATTGTTGGGTATCGTATCTATATTAATAGAATTAAAAATCGATTATCGAATATTTTGTTTCTAAATGATAGTTGAGTTTTACAAACTTACAAACTTTTATGATTAATTTGAAATTCTGAATATATGCGCTTTTGTTTGGGGGGAAATTTTGTAGGATTTAATTTAAGACATCTAAGTAATGGTTTACACATCCTTTCAGAACATGTGGGTACTTTGTCATCCTTCTGCTCGTAAATCTGCTCTAAACTTATGCATGTTTCATAAGGATTATCATAAAGAAATTCTTGACCGGGAAGCTATAAATATTACATTTTTAATATAAAATTTAGAAAAGGTAATTTTTATTTATGTTTACCTTTTTCATTGGCATTTTTATTTTCAGTATTTCCGCATAACTATACAAGACTTCTAGGGGAGCATGAATTTTTATAAAATGTATACATTGTGTAAAGTCCAATTCCACTTGCAAACCCTCTTTAGCTAGATTTCTTTCGAATATATGACGTTTCTTAACATGATCAAATTGTATATCGAAATGATGAAAACCTATAACAAAATCAACTTCACGTATACCATCCTCAAAGTGTCGTTGGGTCTAAAAGATAATTTAAAGAAAAACTTTTTTAAGTTATTAATACCAAAATCTGTTAAAACTATACAAAATTGACCTTTCTACAAACGACCGGTTTAACTGAACTCTTGCAACAATTTCCCATTAGATTTTTTTTTAGAGATTTCTTTCACTCATTAACTTTTATAAGTAAAAATTCATTACTAACAAATATTAAATTAAATTTGCAATTTTTAGCTAGAATTATTTTTCAATTTTATTTTTGGTTCTTCTTTTTGATATTTTATTTTTCATTTATTTGAAGTTGTCAGAAAATAAAACAAATTTTCAGTAATGCCTACATTTTTTCAAATCATTCACAATAATTTGTATTTTTTTCCAAAATATATTTAATATGAAATATACAAACGTATACTTACTTTGCAATTACGAATAATAAGTATACGCTCCATTATACAGGATGTTTAATGTTTCAGGGTGCGTATGATTATTATTTAATTTTCTAATATTAAGTATACGTTCATACAAAAATAAACTAAATGTAAAAAATATGAAAAAAATCCTAGAAATTAAAAAATTTTATAGAAAATGCAATCTTCAAAGTTTAAGCACTTGTTTACGTGGAAAATTTCTTCAAAAAATATAGAAAATAATGAGGTCGCGCGGAATTGAATATCACTTAGGTAACTTGCACTATATAGTAACTTGCAATCCACTGAAAATTTTGTAAGATTTCGATAAACTTGGAAAACTTTAACACAGACTAATGTTTAAATCTTCATATATACCAAATATATTTTTATACCCTACACCACTTTAGTGGGGAGGGTATATTGGGTTTGTGCTGATGTTTGTAACGCACAATAATATTAGTCCTATACCCACCTTAATCATTTTCTGAGTCGATATAGCTATGTCCGTCCGTTCGTCTGTCCGTCCATGTAAACCTTGTAATCGAACTACAGGTCGCAATTTTGAAGATACTTCAATGAAATTTGGTACATGATCTTCTGTTGTCCCAGGGACGAAGCCTATTGAAAATGGTTAAGATCGGTCCATTATTTCACCTAGCCCCCATATAACTGAACCCCCGAAAAGGCCTTTTAAGTTCATAATTATGTCTAATATACTCATATCTCGACAAAAAGCTGTAAAACCAAGTTCTATACCAGCCTTAATGACCCTCATGAATTTTATAATTATAGGGCCTCATTGGACCTTAAATGTCCACAATTTTATTCAACAAAAAAATGGCTTAAATACAAGCAAGGTACAATTCAACTTAAATGCTTTATTATGAAAACTAAATCACATTTTATTTTTGTAACAGGTGTGGGGTATTATATGATCGGCCTCGCCCGACTATAATTTCTTATTTATCCAGACAATATTTAGATTAAATTTCGAAAAACTTGGAAAACTTTAACACAGACTGTTAATGTTTAAACCTTAATATATATACCAAATATATTTTTCAGACAATATTTAGATTAAAAAGAATATATTATATAAATTCCATATTTGCTTGTACTAAAAACCTTATTTTTCGTCTCTTTCAGGATGACCATTCCCCAGTCAAGAATTTACGGCCGCAAGATGAACCTTTGAGTTAAGTCTTAAGTCATCTACACTTTTGCATATATTGAAGTCTACAAATACAACGTAATTTGGTGTCTACCCAATTGAAATCAATTACCAAACTCGCAGAGCTTTTTCTAGGCAAGAATTTTCATCAACTATAAGCCACCTTAAATCTGAGAATTAAGTTAAAAACACCTATATATTTAATGATATTCGCTTTAGAGAGTAAAATGATATTATCTAAACATTCATTATATTCAAACAAAAACACTTTCATTTCTTATAATTTTTTATATGATAACAATTTTCTCTGTTTATTATAACTTTTATTTTTATTATTAGTTTTTTTATTATAATTCTATTTAATTTAATTATACTACTTATAAAAAATATATCATTGTTTTTTATTTGTGTCAATGTTAATTTTTAAACTTATTCATTTGTTTTTATTCGTTTTAAATTACAAAACTTTAACAACACATTTTTGTTTTAAATGCAAATTATAGCAAAATTATAGTTTATATTTTATAATGTTTTCATAATTATTTTTCAAAACAAATTTAGTTTGTATTTATAATTCACTTAATTAAATTAATTATGTTGATTTTTAGAAAAGCAGTTAAATAACAGTTTGCTTAATTTAATTTATCCGTTTACATTCAATTTTTTTGTATTATTTTAAAAAAGGTTTGTTTTAAGGTACTTAAAAGATTGTATTTTATTGTGTTATTTTTGTTCAGTGTTTGGTTTTTATTAATTAGTAAATAGTTTGATTTTAGTGATGTGTATTTATAATTGTATTTCTTGTTTTCATGGAAAATATATAATTAAGTAAAAACAAGTCAGTTTTGTAGGTTACATTTCACAATCTTTCTTTCATTTTGGTTTTAGTTTTAAATTTAAGTTTATGTTATATTGTTCTTGGTAGCTTAAATTAAACAAATAAAAACTAATATTGTGAAAAAGTTTGCTATTGGCATTTTATTTAAAAAAAGCTCGTTTATTATATTTACAGTAATGCTGTTCAGAAATAAAAAAAAATATAGGCAGCCTACTAAACCAGTTGAAAAGCAATTAAAAAAATCTCTAATATAATGAAGAAATTTTGGTAAAATCTTCTCTGGCTCGGAAGTTGTTACATTTTAAAACGTAAATTTAAAGTATCTAAGATCAGATGTATCTGTAAGATGAAAGTTTTAAATGTACACAAATCTATATTTCAACAACTTTCAAATGTTTAATATATAATGTGAAAATTCTCAATAGTTTCTGAGTTATAAAGCCTGGAACTAATTTATGATAAAGCAGTAAAAACAGCTTGTTTTTGTTGAACCTTAAAATCTCAATTTTGTCAATAGCATGCTTACTATTGCAGCTATGACTACCAAAATTGGTATACATATAGCAAAAAATATTATCTAAAAGATTTTATCATTCCTTTTCAAAAACGTTTGTACTTTATGTTATTACAAGCGTTTTAAAATAAAACGCCCACATTTTTCATAATGGGAGTGGCCGTTTAACAAATATTTGTAATCCGTGTAAAAGCCCATTTCCTAAGCTTTTAAATGAAAAAGAAATCATGAGAATCGCTTCGCTAGTTTTAGAGTTATAAAGTTTGTAAGAAAATGTGATAAAGCAACGTAAACAGCATTTTTGTGGAAATATCATGAAATCATAGATTTGATCAAAGTTTTACCAATATTGGAGCTATAACTATAAAATTTTTCATGATCATAGACAAAGATATCACCTAAAAGATGCCATCATTAATTTTTAAAAACGCTTATAATTAACGTTTTTACAAACGTTTTAAAGTAAAACGCCCACTTTTTTCATAATGGGAGTGGCAGTCTAACAAATATTTGTGATCCGTGTAAAAGCGCATTTTCTAAACTTTTACATGAAAATGAAATCATGTGAATCGCTTCGCTAGTTTCAGAGTTATAAAGTTTGTAAGAAAATGTGAAAAAACAGCGTAAATAGCATTTTTGTGGAAAAATAATGAAATCAAAGATTTGATCAAAGTTTAACCAATATTGGAGCTATGACTATAAAATTTGACACGTCCATAGACAAAGATATCGCCTAAAAGATGCCATCATTAATTTTTAAAAACGCTTATAATTAACGATTTTACAAACGTTTTAAAGTAAAACGCCCACATTTTTCATAATGGGCGTGGCAATTGAGAAAAAAAAAATTTATCCAAATTATAGCTCAATTCCTAAACTATTATCTGCAAGAAAAAAATGTAGGTTATCTTCATTAGTTTTCGAGTTATAGCGTTTTAAAGAAAAGTTCGACGTGAAATCCACCTACTGTTCGATTATGTTTTCCTAGTAGTTCACAAAAAAAATTGAGTTTTTGAAAAATCACTTTTTGTGGAATAATCAAAAATTCAGAAAATTGCTTATAACTGCTACAGATATCAAGCCACATGGATGAAATTTAACATGGATGTAGAGAAAGATATGAGGAATCCGATCTTACCAAAACTTTTGACAACGCTCCTCAATCTCAAGTATTATAAGCATTTAAAGATAAAATGTATAAAGCGCAAATGGGCATGGAATTTTCCACAAAAATTGCATAGCATATGAAAGTCGAATTAAAAGTCTAGCCTACAGTGAAGAAATTTTGGAAAAAGCTTCACCGGTTTGGAAGTTATTACACATTAAAGATACTGTTAAGTTTCGGGAGCGTTTTTAAACCTAAAATTTAAGTATTTTGGAGGAGGTGAACCTGTAGGATGAAATTTTTGCATGTATACAAAACTAGATTTCCAAACCTATCCTATGAAGTAGAAATGGCTTAAAACGCTTCAATAGTTTCTGAGTTAAAGCGCTTGAAACTTCTTTATGATGAAGCATAAAAAAAGCTTGCTTTTGTTAAATCTTAAAATCACAGTTTTGTCCATAGAATGCCCAAAATTGGAGCTATCAACTTCAAATTTGGTACATTTATAGAAAGAGATATTGTCTACAAGATCGTACCATTAACTTTTGAAAACGTTTCTTTGTTATGTAAGTATAAGCGTTTTAAAGTACAACGCCTACTTTTTTCATAATGGGCGTGGCAGTTTAACAAATATTTGTAATCCGTGTAAAAGTCCATTTTCTAAGCTTTTACATGAAAAAGAAATCATGAGAATCGCTTCGCTAGTTTCAGAGTTATAAAGTTTGTAAGAAAATGTGATAAGGCAACGTAAACAGCTTTTTTGTGGAAATATGATGAAATCACAGATTTGTGCAAAGTTTAGCCAATATTGGAGCTACGACTATAAAATTTTACATGTTCACAGACAAAGATATCGCCTAAAAGATGTCATCATTAATTTTTAAAAACGCTTATAATTAACGTTTTTACAAACGTTTTAAAGTAAAACGCCCACATTTTTCATAATGGGCGTGGCAATTGAGAAAAAAAATTTTATCCAAATTATAGCTCAATTCCTAAGCTATCATCTGCAAGAAAAAAATGTCGGTTATCTTCATTAGTTTTCGAGTTATAGCGTTTTAAAGAAAAGTTCGACGTGAAATCCACCTACTGTTCGATTATGTTTTCCTAGTAGTTCACAAAAAAAATTGAGCTTTTGAAAAATCACTTTTTGTGGAATAATCAAAAATTCAGAAAATTGCTTATAACTGCTACAGATATCAAGCCACATGGATGAAATTTAACATGGATGTAGAGAAAGATATGAGGAATCCGATCTTACCAAAACTTTTGACAACGCTCCTCAATCTCAAGTATTATAAGCATTTAAAGATAAAATGTATAAAGCGCAAATGGGCATGGAATTTTCCACAAAAATTGCATAGCATATGAAAGTCGAATTAAAAGTCTAGCCTACAGTGAAGAAATTTTGGAAAAAGCTTCACCGGTTTGGAAGTTATTACACATTAAAGATACTGTTAAGTTTCGGGAGCGTTTTTAAACCTAAAATTTAAGTATTTTGGAGGAGGTGAACCTGTAGGATGAAATTTTTGCATGTATACAAAACTAGATTTCCAAACCTATCCTATGAAGAAGAAATGGCTTAAAACGCTTCAATAGTTTCTGAGTTAAAGCGCTTGAAACTTCTTTATGATGAAGCATAAAAAAAGCTTGCTTTTGTTAAATCTTAAAATCACAGTTTTGTCCATAGAATGCCCAAAATTGGAGCTATCAACTTCAAATTTGGTACATTTATAGAAAGAGATATTGTCTACAAGATCGTACCATTAACTTTTGAAAACGTTTCTTTGTTATGTAAGTATAAGCGTTTTAAAGAACAACGCCTACTTTTTTCATAATGGGCGTGGCAGTTTAACAAATATTTGTAATCCGTGTAAAAGTCCATTTTCTAAGCTTTTACATGAAAAAGAAATCATGAGAATCGCTTCGCTAGTTTCAGAGTTATAAAGTTTGTAAGAAAATGTGATAAGGCAACGTAAACAGCTTTCTTGTGGAAATATAATGAAATCACAGATTTGTGCAAAGTTTAGCCAATATTGGAGCTATGACTATAAAATTTTACATGTTCACAGACAAAGATATCGCCTAAAAGATGTCATCATTAATTTTTAAAAACGCTTATAATTAACGTTTTTACAAACGTTTAAAAGTAAAATGCCCACATTTTTCATAATGGGCGTGACAGTATAACAAATATTTGTGCTCCATGTAAAAGTCCACTTTCTGAGCTTTTACATGAAACAAAAATCATGTGAATCGCTTTGCTAGTTTCAGAGTTATAAAGTTTGTAAGAAAATGTGAAAAAGCAGCGTAAATAGCATTTTTGTGGAAAAATAATGAAATCAAAGATTTGATCAAAGTTTAACCAATATTTGAGCTATGACTATAAAATTTGACACGTCCATAGACAAAGATATCGCCTAAAAGATGCCATCATTAATTTTTAAAAACGCTTATAATTAACGATTTTACAAACGTTTTAAAGTAAAACGCCCACATTTTTCATAATGGGCGTGGCAATTGAGAAAAAAAATTTTATCCAAATTATAGCTCAATTCCTAAGCTATTATCTGCAAGAAAAAAATGTAGGTTATCTTCATTAGTTTTCGAGTTATAGCGTTTTAAAGAAAAGTTCGACGTGAAATCCACCTACTGTTCGATTATGTTTTCCTAGTACTTCACAAAAAAAATTGAGCTTTTGAAAAATCACTTTTTGTGGAATAATCAAAAATTCAGAAAATTGCTTATAACTGCTACAGATATCAAGCCACATGGATGAAATTTAACATGGATGTAGAGAAAGATATGAGGAATCCGATCTTACCAAAACTTTTGACAACGCTCCT